TTTCTCCCCTAGCTTCTTGTAGTTGCTGGCAATCCTTGGCATTCCTTGGCTTGTAAACGCATCACTTCCATCTCTGGCTCTGTCTTCACATTGCCTTCTCCTCCCTATGTATCTTTTCCTTTTCTCATGAGGACACTTGTCATTGGATTTAGGAGCTAGTAGGAAATCCAGCATGATCTAATCTCCAGAACCTTAATTACATCTGCAAAAGCCCCTTTTCCAAATAAGGTCACATTCACAAGCTCTGGGTGGACATATCTTTTGGGGAGTCACCATTCAACCTCCTATAAAAGCCTTCTAAAATAAGACGAAGACTCATAAATTTGACTTCATTAAAAATAAAAACTACATGAAAACACCATAAAAAGGCAAATAGATAAACTGCTTATGGTAAAACAAGTACAATATCTCTTTTAGATTTCTTTTTTTAACAAAAGCTAAAATGCAGAATACATATTTTTTAAATTCCTATAAACCAATAAGAAAAACAGCCCAATAGAGAAATGACTAAGTATATAAAGAAGACATAAACTAACTAAACATAATATAATAAAATATAAACTAAATTGAACATAAAAAGATGCTTAGTGACATTAGTAGTTAGGTAAATGAAACTTAAGGTAAGATACCATTTTGTACCCACTAGATTGCTCAAAATTAAAGTCTAATCATATCAAGTTTTGGTAAGAATTAGGGAAGTGGAGACTCATTCACTACTGGTTGGTGCAGATAATTTAAATGGCTTTTTGGTTATATCAAAAATTTTTAAATGCCTATTTCCAAAACATCCATATGCATTCACAAGAAGACATATACACATATTCCCTGAAGTACTGTTCTCAAGAGTTCAAACCCGGAAACAAACTATGTAAATGCTCATCAATAGAGGAATGCTTATTTCTGTAGCAAAAATGCTTTTGAAAAGTTTTCAATCCCTTAGAAAGTTCCAAGGTCTAAATATATATGAACTTTTTGTATTGTAGTAAGTTGTTCTGTTACCCACACATTTTAGTCCAGATGGCTATTCTGAGACAGTGTAAGCAAAACTGGTTATAATAAATGAATTTTGTATTCCCAAGATTTGTTTTTCTTTCAGTATGTTATCATTTTGAGCTACATTTCTGGAAGCATATACAACAGGTGTACTTACCAACTGTGCCTGAAATAATTACATTTTGAAAAAAATCTGCCACTGCAAATCTTTAGCTTCCTGTCATTTCTTCATGTTGAAATTATTCCTACATGAATTTGTTTACTTCATATTTCTCAGGTGTGTTTATTTAAAATTTATACCCTGCCTACTTCCCAAATGATTTTAAGATAGCTTTTTAAAATTCATGTATAATAAGACAATTAAAAATAGCTCAAACTCATGTGAGTGTATGTGAGGGAGGGTTTCTCAAGGGAAAAATACATATGCTTTAATTCTCAGTAATTTATATTAAATTTAGCTCTGAACTTCCTGGTAGAAGCACTGATTAAAAGAGGGACTATTCCAAGTTAATTAGAGCTGACAACTATTTTCTTTTTCTCTTCCTAAATTCTGAAAAGTATTTCTTGCATGGTTTTTACCTATCCAGGAAATATGTCCTCTACAGAGCTTTTGCAAAAGCTGCAGAGATTTTTCTCATATCCTAATGCATCCTTGATAATGTCTTTTAGTGAAAGTGTTGGTTGATTTTTGGGTTTGGAGTCATTTTATTTCTTTTTGGTGAGACTGGGCTAATGTGGTCCAGTTATGTTGCTTTCTGCTATGGTGAAAAATAAAATGCTTAACAAAGTATTTATTAAAAGATGGCCCCCTCACCACTTGCAAAATAAAAAAAAAAAAAATAGAGGAATGCCTACATAAACCATGGTGTATGATAACATAACGAGATCTCCATGACATAATTTTGGATGAATAGGGCAATCTGCACAACAGGAAGTAGGGTATAATATTGTTTATATTAAAAGAATACACAGAAAACAATAATATTTTATATGCATTTCGACATATATATGTTAATCCATCGGAAAAAAATCTGGAACGATACAAACCAATCTTATAACAGAGGTTACCTTTGGGAAGGGAGATAGAGGAGCCTCTGATTGTGGGTGATAGACATAGGGAACTTCAACCTTATCTGTAATGTTTTAACTTTTTTCATGAAGAATGTGCTTATATAGTGCTTCTATAATTTTTTCAAAAAATTGAAAGAGAGTGAACGGGAAATGATGGAAAGGAGATAGTGTATGAACCTTTTCTTTCAAGAAATTTGATAATAAAAGATTTATTTTTACTTAATAATAAGAGAATAGCTAAGCAAACTGGAGGACATGTCCTAGAGGGAAGATTAGTGCAGATATTAACATAAAATGTAAACCATGGAAATATTTATAAAATGTGAAGTTTTAAAAATTTTGGATTTTTGAAGATTAGTATAATGAAAGCTTCCAGGAAATATAAAGGATCGACAATAAAATATTCTGAGGAAATTGGAAATAAAATTTTATTTTAGAGTTAAACTATAAAATTAATATACTTTGAATCAAATAGAAAAATCACCTTCAAGAAACATAATGGCTTTCAGACTGGCAAGTCTTGGCTATAACCTGATTGATAGTTTTGACATATTAACAAATGTGTCAGTGAGCCATGGAAGCACAGAAAAGGGAGAGTTGGTGAAGCCAACATAGAGCAGACGTGTTAGTTACTTAATCCTCCCCTGCCCATCCCTACGATGGGGTTAATAATAGTATAAAACAAAATAGCACTTGGTAAGGAGTAAGGCTTATGCAGTATTTAAGGGAGGGACCCATGGTGATGAGGCCAACATAAACCCTCACAGTTCTATTTCTCATTATCAACCAGCTCTCTGGTTCTCATACATCAATCTCATAAGGTAATGGGCATGAGTCAGCCTCCTGACTCTGACCAGTTCTGGGGCACTGAGGAGATCAAGTTTCTAAGGCTGAAGGACTATATACCCAGCCTGGACTGAGGTTGAAAGCACCAAGCTAACGCCATCCAGCCAGGCCTCCTGTTAGCCAGCCAGTTACCTTTCTTGGTGTCACCCTACCTTGGATATTCCTAATCTAGTCATACTTCTAAATAACTCGGGGC